TTATTCCCATGAGATCGTCCTTTATTTCGATTCCCTCTTGCACCGCTAAATACATCAATGGATTGAAGTACAATAAAAAATATAGAACCTAATGCATTGAAGAATTGGCGGCAAAGCCGGTCTTGCTCGTTTCCTCGCCGCCGCTCTGACGTCGAAATGACGTCACTAACACGCGAACGCGTACGCGCCGCCGGCAAGCTTTTCTATGGAGTCTAGTGGAAAGTCTGCGACAATATTCGTTGATAAACTTGCTACAAGACGAGTTTCTCTTGACGGAAGCTTGGCATTGTTATAAAGAAAAGACGACGTGCTTCAATAAAAACGTGTTGGCTATAAAGAGCAACAAAGCAACTTATTTGAACTTATTTGACACCAGCTGGGTTACGGTAGCCCTCCGTTCTTCCAAGCGGAAGGCTCCTTGTTTGATCGCATGTTTGTTACTCTCTTGCAAAACAACATATTTCCTTGGACATATATAATTTTATTTACATGAATGGCATGAAACACAGCACAAATAAAATGTGATTGGATCAGAACGTTTGCACATATATTTCACCTGAACCGTATGGAACAATCCTGGAAATTATAGCAATTAGCAAATAAATGATATAAAACATTGGGAGGAAAGGAAGTGAAGCGCCCATGTATGATGACGCAGGTGAACGATTTCATGTGAATAATTTTGGAAGCGGTTAGGTGTGAATTAATATAATAGAAAGCTCGTAGTTGCTCAAAGGCACGTTCCGCGATAGTGGGAGCGGAACAATGGGGTTCATGTGAAGCAGTAGGATTCATTTATAAGACATCAAGAAAAAAAGGAAAAGAAACCGCCGAAAATATTTTATTTGAGTGTTTAATTTTTCTCAACAGTTGATGAGTCTGGGAGGCAGAAAGGGAAGCCTGAAAGACGCTGAGCGCAGGGGCGTGAGCACAGACGAGCGTGACGAGAGGGTGTAGCAGACGAGCAAGAGGGCAAATAGCACAGTAATGCGCTTGGGTGGTTGCTAATGTAGTAGGTTACAAATGATAATAACATGTCATAATCGTATTCCGTGCAGTTTCCTCAATTGAACACGTCCGCAGCGGCCAGATGCTTGCTTGCGGTTGCGGCGCGGTTCGTAGCAGTAGGTCCGACAGTTTACGTTACTAATACGCACTGCGTGAATTAAATATTCAATTAAGCAACGTTTTTTCAAGAAATGCTGATATTTAATTCAAACATACGAATCGTCCCACGAAATGCACGAGTTCGCACTTGCAGCATCTCGAAGGGCGTATTAATGACGCGGATTGCGATTCAATGCTCCGACCCCTTCAGCACTTACCAGGAAGGTCTTTCAGGGCGTGCCAAGCTTTTTGAAAACGGTCTTTTGCATGATATAGGGGCACATGCGGGAACCACAGAACCATGGTTAATTTTTCCTGAACGGCCCTCTGAATACCAGAAAAGGGGGTCCCTAGTCACACCTTTTTCACCAGTTTTTCAATCAAAGTCTATTTGTAAGGGTTACTGACGGTCCTAATCATGAATATGGTACTAATTATTCATGCTAACTCCATTTTGCGCGAATTTTGAAACGTCAACTCGAAATGCAAAAATTTGTCACCACGAGGAATCGAACTAGGGACCCCTTTTCTGGTATTCAGAGGGCCGTTCAGGAAAAATGAACCATGTTCTGTGGTTCCCATATGTGCCCCAATGTCATGCAAGAAACCGTTTTGAAAAAGCTTGGCACACCCTGAACGACCTTCCTTGTTAGAACGTACCATGCCGCTAATTTTCGCAGCAGCTCTGCTACTTCTACTGCGTAGTTGCAGAATATTAGCTTTTAGACCGGTCACTGGAAGTATGTATACTGACAGCTACAGAGATTGAGCATGGTTTACAGTGAACCATGAAAGCAATACTGTATGAGATGACAATAGATTATGTAAATGGCTTCGAAGATAAAGTACTGCGGACACATTGAAATGAGCAAACCGCTTATCCAGCAATAGGAAGGACGCATCAGTACTGAACAATCGATTAGGCTGACTGTGTCATGTTGTAGTACAGTCCTCGCTTGGCGATCAGCGCATCGTGAGTACCCTCTTCAGCAATGGCACCATCGACGAGCACACAGATTTTATCCACACCCCGTATCGAGGAAAGCCGATGAGCAACTAAAAAATGCTTGTGTCAGTGTATAGCCTGTGCTAAATCAATCATACACGCTCGATTCAAATAGATGGGGTTAGGTCGGGGTAACGATGAATGAGCGAACATCCAGTGTATAGCCCCAAAATGGGGATGAAGAGCGTGTGCTGCTGTGGGTGGCTGGGGTGAGAGATCAGTCCGAACGGCGCTTAGGCGCGGAGCGCTGGTCGTACGCGCTCTCCCAGAGAATATTGTAAACTCTACATCCGCTTTTTACGCATATAAGTGGCTTGCTCCCTGATTACTATCTTCACTGAGATGGACGTAGATAGGCCGCGCCGCGCTGCCAACTGCACCCCTTCCCCCTCCCTCCATGGAATAGTTCACCGACGGTGCGGACGCGAGCGCGTGCGGGTGACGTCACTTTGAGGCCGATGTCAGACTTTGCGAATCGCGCGATTCGCTAGCGTCCGCGGTCGCGTTGCGGTACCAGCCAATTGAGTGATTCACTGGCCACGCTAGCGAATCGCGCGATTCGGAAGTCTGACATCGGCCTGACATTACACGGCGGCGAGTTATCGAGCAAGGGTGGTGCCAATAGATTATAACATTATTTGCGTATAGGACACTATCTACTCTAACTTAGCTTCACTATGCAGTGAGTTGAACATACTCACAAAGAAAGGGTTTATTGAAATCAACTTCGAAATAATGCGCACTCGTTAGAGTTTACACACGAAACCGTTGATTTCCTCCTTAATCGCAAAGAAATTCCTAATTTTTGAGGGCGAAAACTGTACCTGTACACAATACAATCACCCACGCGCTCGCGTCCACGCCGCTGGTGAACTTGTCTCTTCTCTCTTTCTCTTTCTCTCTCTCCTCCCCCCCCCCGCAGTTGTGAAAGCTAAGGAGTTGAGCCGCTCAATTTATATCTTTCGTCCCGCCCTTTGCCTAGATGCTCGCCACACAGTCCAAATCAAACGTTTGCCTCACCATTCAGTTTACGGAAGCAGATTAGGAGGGAAAATCGAGCGGTTCGAAGGGCCCAGACTAAAGGCTGCTAATTTTGGCTATGAGAAACAGCTGCGTGCACTTCTGCCACATAACGAACAACCAATATTTTCTCCATAACATTTCGGCTGCACCTGCTGGTCCGTACTGCAACCCCTGGGCTCCCGTGGTGGACACCAACGAGTTTACTGAATGATAACACTACTACGGCATATACAGGGGGGGGCCAAAAAAAAAGACATTTTGCCTCCACTTCCAGATGGATTTAAGCACATTTTACTCAACTCAGACCGAACGGTTCCAACTTATTATTAAAGAGTGCATTCCATTCTATAAGAAAATCTTCATAGTGGCCACGTACGTGGACGGCATCAGAAGAATTAGCCCTGGAAACATGGTGCACTGGTCGATCTCAATGGGGTCTTCGAAGGATCGTGTACCATAACGACCCTTACTGGAAAGCTAGTTCCGAGGGGATTTGCACAGTGGTAGCTAATGCCTCTAGAAAACTATCCAACATTAAATCGATTCACGAAATTGCGTAAGAGCTTCAGGCTGAAGCTCTTACGGTAGACCTCCTTGAGCCTGACGACGGTGACAGATGACGTCATATTCTGAAGACGGTGAGGGCAGTGAAGGAGAGCCTGCGTACACTAATAGAGGAACACTTAGGGAATACTCTGCTGAGGAACTCCCGTCAACGACAGCAATCTCTGCGAAGAAAAAAGAGCCGAAGTCCGACATAGGCAAAATGCCTTTTTTTGGCCCCCCCCCCCTGTATATTAGGTGCACTAACGTGACACGTATCACGTTGAGGGGAGGGTTATCGTAATGCACTCCATAATCAAAGGTGGACCGCTAGTTTCAAAATTTAATCCGTCAAGTGGAAAGGGGAGGGAGAGGGGAGAATTTTCAAACTTTTACACACTCTCAAAACAGATTCCTTTTCTCATGTGTTTCCTGAGTACAATGCCACTTCCTTTGCCTCCCCACTGCCCCCATCCCCCTGAAGGCTCTGCTCCCCTTGCCTTCGCCTTTGTCACGGACACTTAGTTGACAGTAATTGCAAGTTTTACATGAAAGTAGAATGTTTTAACAACTTACTCTGTAAAGAAGTACATGTTTTGCCAGCTTTCTCGAGGGCCAACTGAACAGCCTGCAAAATCCCTTATGACATCCAAAATGATTACCATTAAACAAACAGTAATTACATTGCTGCTCCGCTGAACTTTTACCAACTTGAGCAACCTCACCTTTTCACTTGTGCTGTCTAACGCAGCAGTCGCTTCATCCATAAGAAGCACGACAGGTCGTCGCACAATAGCTCTAGCAATAGCAATGCGTTGCTTTTGACCTCCAGAAAGTTGAGCACCGAACTCGCCAATCTCCGTGTCGTAACCCTAGCAACACATTTGAGAATTATTGTACAACAAATGCAGAAGAGATAAAAACAATGAGAAATCTAAGTTTATGATTCCATAGTGAAGTCGGTTTTCTATGAGTTGTAACCCACACACCCAAATGTTAGTATGTGTTTCTACTCCAGGCATAGTGCATGATCATGAGAGCGTGATTTTTGCCCTCGAAAATGAGAGTGGACGTTAATAGTGGGTGAAAAACCAGGAAAAAACGAAAAAAAACATTGAAAACAAAAAAAATAAAATAAAAATAAATGGATGGAATATAATACACAAGTAATACGAAAAAAGCAAAAATGAAAAATAAAAGTATCCCTCTTCTGAGAAAGGGAGTCGTCCACCAGCGAGACACAGAAAGACAGAGGGCACCGAGACAAAAGATCGGAGACTAGAGCGTATACGGGACGAGCGGGCGCGGTGGGTGGGCATGGATGCCTTGCGAGACAAGGCCCCAGAGCGCCCTTGCCTCGCATTTCGAGTGGCACTACCTCTACGAGTGGATCCTGCTACCGATCGAGAGACGAATGGCTTCAACGATTTGATCGCGTGAAGTTCCTTCAACCCTTGACTCCCTGCTACTCATGACATATGTCCACCGACCAACATAAATGTTTTGAAATGGGCAGCAGTGAAAGCTAGGATATGGAAAAAAGGAAGAAACTTTGGATTTGACTCACTGCTTAGTAACGAAACAGCGATCGCATTGTGGTAAAAATAGAGGTGTTTGAGGGTAGATCCCTTGTGCGCGCAGGTAGTGGTTTAAAGCCTTGACTTCAGTTTGGTACCATAGGTACCACGCTTTGCTGGCCATGGTAACAGCATGACTTCTTAGAATCACGCCCGCTTTCGAGGTATTGAGCTGCACTTGGATGTTCCTGGGTGGACTGATTCTATCTATTTTTATTTTAGATAGTTCATTCTATTATATTTCTTTTCTATTGCATTTTTGATGAGTTATAGATGAGTAATTTTCCCAACACGAGACAGAACATGATATGATTGGTTGTGTTAACACATAAATACAACGATTTAGGAACTACCAGAGTAGTCACTAACGGCTAGAAAGGAAATTCCTTACCTGCGGCAATGACATGATAAAGTCATGAATATTTGCTATCTTTGCAGCTTCTTCAATCTTCTCCATAGTCACTTCGCTTTCCATCATACCGTAAGCGATGTTCTCCTTGAATGCACATTTTTTGAAGTTCAAAGACAGATACAAAGGCTTTTCGTCTGATCTCACTTTTATCGTGAAGGAAAACAGTGTTGGCTCTTGGCCAACGGAGACAACCATCCTCCGGAGATAGGCAGGGTTAATTGACTTCACATTGTACTTGTCCATGAGCTAAATATTGAAGACTTTAGGTAAAATTAGATCACCGTTGCCTTCCCTTAGCGTACTCACCACTTCTCCGTCTGTGGCATTGTACAACCGTTGGATAAGGGCTATGACGGAGGTCTTACCAGACCCGGACGGACCGACGAGTGCAACAGATTGACCAGCGTTAATCTAAGACAATTGAATTATTACTCTTTAAAGTTTAGGTGACTCTCAACAAAGACCTGTTCGTCTTTACTTACCTCTAAGTTCAGCTTCTCAAGAATAGGAACGACAGGCCGTGTTGGGTATCGGAACGAGACATCCTTCAATTTTATGCTTCCCTCTAGTTTCTGGAAATGAGAAACAATCGCATTTGAATGATTATCACTCTATCTAACTTTTGTATGCAGCAAGAAGTACACGCATCAGTGGAAGCGCTAGGCAGGGGCGATTAGATGTGGCCTTTCCGTGGCCAAAGGCGCACTAGTTGCAGCGCCTCGGGGCTGCCGATCCTTTCTGAGCTCCGCCACCGCCTGTGCTCCGCCATCAGCTGTGATTAAAGAAAGCACGTAGCTTTTCTCCATAGCTCGATTATCATTTTGATAAGGTATTTGAGCGCGTATCCTTCAACTTTCCCATGGAATGCGTTGTCAATCAAAGCATGATCCTTGCTGGTATGATAGCGGCTATCGGTTTAACATGTGCAAACGACCTCTTAGTTGGTTGCTAGCTCGTCCATTATCGGAGGTCAACGGGCAAAGAAAGGGGTCCCATTTTGCGCTTTTTGACGGATTTTCGCCACTGGGGCATTATTCAGCATCCCAGCTTTCACTATGAACCGCTAAATCTTATCGTAATTCTCATTTTAGTAGCACATGACCTGAGTGCAGGACTATGGGAAGCAAGGCCAAGGACATGAAGTCGTATTGTATTTACGTTGATCAGAGAAAAGTTAGGATAGTTGCTGAGGCCGCAGGGGAGGATAGTGTGGATAAGTGAGATAAGCGTAGAATCGCAAAATGAGAGCTCTGACACTTCAGCAGTCTTATGACCATCCCACCCCTCCCCTCGACGACAAATTCGGAGAAGTACTGAGAGCTGAGTTTGTTTTGTGTAGTCCAGCGCTTGGATCAACGCCGTGCTTCCTACTCTTCTCCCTAGCGTTAGTCCCGCGCAGTCGCAGGGTCCGCTGTCTTTATCAGTCGTCGCCACTTTGCTCTGTCCAGGGCGTCTTCTGCTGTGGCCATGATTTCACTTAGGTCCTTCTTGATGACGTCCCTCCACCTCTTCTTTGGTGCCCCCTTGCTTTGTGAGTAAAAGGCCATCGCTGTTTCCCGTGGTCCCAGGCTTCCTTAGCCCATCAAATCGCATAAGTTCCTCTAGCTGAATAGCATTACCGCTCTGACATCCTCGGGATTAAGCTCTTGAGACCTTTTCGCACTCACTCTTGACTAAAACTGAGACTGAATCGAAGGACTATACGTCATGCAGATAGTGCAGAGATTCTACTTGTTTGACAAACGTTTCCTCGAGAGCACTCCTATTCATCCTTTTCTCGAAGGGTCAACCGCTTCTGGCTGTGTCAGAGGAAGGTTGTTTTTTGTTGTTCTTGGGAAGAGATTCCAATTTGGCAAAAGAGGGTCGTATTTTCATCAAGGGAAACTGGAATTTTCCCTGAGATGTTGGCACAACTTGTTTCCAGTTATTAAAATACACTGGTGTGCAAAACTTAAGGACGAGACAGATGAAGTATCATAACCTTTTGATAGCTTTGTGGACCGTTTAACGGTTCCTGTTAACTGCTTTCTTTAGTGCCCTGTGGCAGCTCTTTGTATGTGTGGTTAGGTTCCATAGAGTCATGTTACGCGCCAGTAACACGTCGTTGGAAAAGCTACGTTCGTCCCTAAGTTTTGCACACCAGTGGTCAACTTTATGTTCCCCACATCCCCTCCCCCCCCCCACCCCCAAGTTTTCGATGTTTTGGTTCCAAAAAGTGCGAGAGTACCACAGTAGTCCAATTGAAAGATTTTAACCGTTCCACCACTGGGAAGATTTCATATAAAGTGAAAATGTGTACATTAAGAGTCTGTGATTGGTGATAAGGGCATGAAAATAAACATTACGCACAGGTCGCTGTCCTTCCTCACTGAGATTGTCGAAATCAACGGCTCTTTCTTTCAACACAGATAACACGTTTTCTGCAGCGACTCGAGCCTTCGACATGTCCGAAACAGATGCGACTAGCTGTGAGAAGAAGTTCGCTCCAAATTGCGTTAGCAGGACAACCCTGTAATAATGCTAACTTTTTCGCGAAATGCTGTAGTAAATAGTCTTTTTGTAACAATGCTTAAGAATTTTCTTTCAGAATACTTAGGAATGCATAGTTCCGTATTCCTAATCAGGATGAATATTGCTTGAGGATTCCTCAACGGCACGTCGAGGATTTTCGCCTGATCCTTTACGTTCTCGCGCGCGGATATTCACTCTCGCCACCCGCGAGCCGTCTGTGCTCTCCGCGCGTACATTCACTATCGGCTCTACTCTCGCACAGCAGAGAGCGATGGTCGAGGAACTGCTCTCGAGGAACTCCTCGACCGTTATTCACCCTGTTCCTAATCCGCCATTTTTTGCTCGTAGATTTTACCGAAATGGAACAAGAAACGGCACAATTACCCTTTACTGGAGCGCCTTTTCGCAAAGTTTGCCTTCTTTGTAGATTTAGTATATGCGGGCTTGCCCTTCAAGGATGGATTCTTTGAGGCGCACATAAACACAATCTCTGTTGTTGGCGCCAGCGCCACATCGCCGGCGCTACCATGCTCGTTGGCGCAGGCGCTTGTATTCTGAGCATTTTCGGTGCAAATGGGAGCGATATTCATACTTTACCAGTCTAACTACTCCTTACAAGGGGGTCTTTCAGGGCAAGCCACGCTTTTTCAAAACGGTTTCTTGCATATTGTAGGGATGCATGTAGGGAACACAAAACCATGTTTCATTTTCGCTGAACGGTTTTAGCAGTACCAAAAAAGAAGCATAAGGTACTGTTAATGGTTCGATCCCCCGTGGCGACTAAATTTTGCATTTGGGTTGGCGCCTACGGTTTGGTGCCAAATCGCGCTAAATGTCAAAATCAGATGTCAATTCATCGTCAGGACCATTTTGAAGCCAACAAGTGGCCGCCAACCTTGATTGCAAAATTTAGTCGCCGCGGGGGATCGAACCATCAAGGTATCATTCACCACTTTTTTGGTACTACTAAAACCGTTCAGCGAAAACGAAACATGGTTTTGTGGTCCATACATGCGTCCCTACAATATGCAAGAAACCGTTTCCAAAAAGCGCGGCTTGCCCTGAAAGACCTCCCTTGTTAACGTAGTGGCCGCAACTATTGTGATCCAATGGTATTTTGACATTATTTTGATTTTGCCTTGGATGTAAGTAACCTTGGATCATGGCGATGAGTGAATCAAGGTGGCAGCACTTTTCACGAGCAGACCGCAGGACGAAATCCAGAATCAACCCCCGGTCAGGCCAACCAAGACCAATACACACAACACTTTCAGGTCTATTTCACTCACCTCATGTAGTCAAATACCGTTATTTCATTGTTGAGCATCATCACCTTTCCGAAGAACAATGTTATTGCGATAAGAATATAGGTGAAGGAGTATTGACAAGCGAACACGAACGCAGAAATAACCGACTGTCTTTTCATGGCTCTAAAATCCATTTTACGATGAAGCGATTAAAAAAGTAGGCTCAATAGGTCATCTGAGACAAGAGTGCAAGGAAACGTACCGAGCTAATGGCTCCAGTGTATCAGCAAAAACTGAATAAAAGTGCTCTTGCAGGTTATACGCCTTGATCGTGCCCATATTTGACAGGACAACAGAAGCCAGATTTGCTGCTTTGTTTTCCTCCTCGACCATTGCTCTCTGCCTGAATCATAGCGATAGTCCACAGGAAGAACATTGAAAGCAATAAGTGCAATGACAGGAAGGCGGGGATAATATGGAGATTCAGTCGGTGGAAGTGCATCGACGACAGCCCTCCACCAATGAAGTTTCCAAAGCATCTCCGCCTCTTGATCAACGCACTCACTGCCTTTGAAAATCATAGGTTGTTAGCGCAGCTCTCGCGACTGCAGGAGGCATCTATCATTCCCTGTAACCGACACTTTTTCCCCAGATGTTTATTTATTTCACAGATTTCATTATTATTTTCTCATTTCGCACAGACCTAATTCTACACTTCTTCTTCTTCACACGATATACGCTTTTAATTGGTGATTACATAGCTCACCAATCGCAAACATACTTCACGCTGATTCTACGGGCGAAGGCAACTTCGGCATCGCTACATTTCATTGGACGGCCCTTCGCCTGATACGGTAATGTGCTTCTGAACTGTAAGAGAGCGACCAATAGAAGGGTGACTTCATTTCTGATCTACGCTTGAACGACACCTGGATAGAATACGCCACCAAGGGTAACCGAGGTAAAACGTAAGGTATTAAAAATAACCCATGGGGTTACGTCTGATCAGTCGGTACTGCCATCACATTACGATAGATTTCAGCAAGGACAGAAATGCCCTAATCGTTGCTGTATAACGCTTGTATAGACTGGCACACAATACCTGGTCAATATTACTTTTGAATGACCGTTTTCGATAAGATTGTAGAGGAGCAACACTGCGACAGCATAGTCACCTACATCCAGCGCAACGGTTGGGCCGATGTCATAGTTTGCGCGATTCGCTAGCGAATCGCTGGATCCGAGCGTTGCGCCAGCGAATCGAACGTTGCACCAGCGAATCGAACTTTGCGCCAGCGAGTCGAACGATGTACCAGCGAGTCGAACTAGGTACCAGCGACTCAATAGTGGCGGGACCCAACGTTCAAAGGAAGCCCGCCACTTTCAAACAGTGTCCACTGTCACCCCCGCCACTTTCAAACAGCGTCCACTGTCACGTAACTCGTATTGAGTCGCTGGTACCTAGTTCGACTCGCTGGTACATCGTTCGACTCGCTGGCGCAAAGTTCGATTCGCTGGTGCAACGTTCGATTCGCTGGCGCAACGCTCGGATCCAGCGATTCGCTAGCGAATCGCTCGATTCGCAAACTATGACATCGGCCTTACGGGCATAGCAGCATCAGTGTGAAGAGATTGAGAAAGCGGTGTCACAGCAATTGACTCATGATTACTGGTATGACCTACGTACCCCCTATTTTGGAAAAGGAGAAGAGCTTCGAGTGCAGATCACACACCACAAGTGACGACGGACCAAATGGCTTTTTCCCTTCTTTTTTCTTGGCCGTCGTCACTTGTGGTGTGTGGTCTGCACTCGACGCTCTTCTCGATCCCCGAAATAGAGGGTAAATCGTCTCGTAAGCATGTGGCTCACCTGTACCACTATGGCTTATCACTTTGGCGAAACAAACCATATTCATGGCTAGTTTCACCAAAGTGGCAAGGCATAGCGTTGCAGGGAGTGGTTCAATGGATAACGTGTTCAAGTAGACTTTAGACAACCCGTAGGACATCGCACCTTTTAGTTCCTTCCTTCATTTGCACAATTCGAATAATGAAGTAGGCAGGGAATTGAAATGAGCATAACAGTGCCATCTTCCAGTTGATGTACATAGCAGCAGCAAATGAAAAAACTGAAAGACGAGTGCAATCAAAGTGAAAATAAGCTTCTTGAGAGATTTTAATCACGATCAACTCATCATTCAACACGCACAGCAAGACCGCCCATTACATTAGGAGTTCTCGCTCAAGCAGTCCGTGCTGGTTAGTTATAGGTAAGCGTCATCGGGGCCAACCCTGTTGTCTGCCCAATTTCAGACATACAAAGTGCGCCAAAGTTACCTGCTCAAGTTTTCGCCCTAGTAAGTATTGTAGAACAATGGAATAAGGGCTCGTTTTCGATAGAAGTTGAGAAATAAAATGCACGGCTTCACAACTCAAACTGTCTCTCTCGGACAGAGCACTAGGCTTTAGTTGTGAGGAGAGGTCGTCCACTGTGGCGCTTAGGTGCTCCAAAAAATTTTCCTCCTAAACGTAAAGCAGAATCGTTATTTGGATTGCGGTTTGGTGGTGTTGTTACGAGCAGGCCTTGCTCTCTGAAAAGCTCAACACGAAATGTTCCACTCTGTTGAGGTAAGCACTTTTGACTGACCGTAACTGAACGCTGGTGAGACCAGGGCCGGTGATCTCGCGTGCTGCGATGTCACCTTCGATCTACTATCACCTAGTGTTCCACCCTGCTGAAACACGAGCGGTCAGGATCCATTGTGGGATTCTGTCGAAGAGAGTGAGATGTTAGTCAGAACACCTTCAAGGTTAACCTCTGCTTTCGTTGGAGTATCCTCTTTGATAAAAACAAGAAGGGATACGACTTCATGGCTAATCGCAAATAAAACCATGGTTTTGGTGCCTTCTGTAACATTCAAAAAGGACCGTTCCTAAGCAATGTCCTTCACCATTTTGACGATCGGAAGGTCGAGTTCACGCCCTGAATAGCATTCCGGGGTCGGCCATCTCTCGCTGGCGCGCTGACGTAATCATTCGGAAACATCTTGGAGTTCTCGCGCCGAATTATCATGGATGGAGCATGGAGTGGGGTATGTTGGCAGTTATTGATCCAAAGTCATAGCTTTTTCTTAGAAATAGGACAGCTTGAGGGATAACTATTTCTGGCATCCTGACTATGTCTGTTAGCGACCTCCTCTTATTGGGCTGCACTCTTCCTCGGTATCTTTAACATTTTACGTCTAAACTGCAGCTGGTGGTGCCCACCATTCTCAGCCTTATTTCATAGGTCCGGAGTCTTTTTTCATTTGACGACAAATTCCACAGTTCTACTGCGCACTCAATGAGTGTTCGGCCTTTTCCCACAAGACACTAAAACAATAGACGATGGGGGTCGGAACTTGAAAAAACTTCCAGCTATTCTGAGACGTCGAACGTCTAGCTATTCATAGACGCTGAGAAGTAGGATTCATAGGACTGATAGAAGAGGTTGCAAATAAAAAACTAAACATCAACTGCTCGCTTGTCGCCTCATAATATCAACGGAACAAACGCTGTAATTTTGAGCAAGTAATTGTGGCGCAAACTGTACGAGAGATGAGCGGTAGATAGAATTTTGTACCAGCAAACATGGCCTACAATTTCAAAATTGCTATCAATATTGCCAAAAACTCAAATTCCTCGAAAAATTCTCTTCCCAGGCACCTTTCTAATGGATGTTTGCAGACATATCAGTCTTGAATGCAGATGGCACGGTAACTTAGTCGTCCGCTATGAACCTGAGTAGAATCGCTATGAAACCTATGGGCAGTGAAGAAAAAACTCAGGGAAATGGCCTAAATGCGGCAAAACAAGACCCTTGCTTTTTCCAGAGATTTTTGAAGGAAGATTCTACAATAGAGAACGAAGGTCGAAGAAAAGGAAAATTGCCTAGTTGGGAGACAGGCGGACCACCTGAGGGTGCGGACCGACGCGCAATTGGCAGCGAAAAATTTGACCCCGGCGATCTAGCATGGCTCACTCTTGGCGCAGTTGGCGCGGTACGCCTCACCGACATAACAGAGAGAAGTGTTGGTGTTGAAGAGGGCACGATGGAGAGTCGCATTCAGCAGCGGAAAACATTTGAAGGCATTGAAGCAGTCCCATTTCTGGGTTCCGCGGCCATTTCTCATGGGGTGTTCCTTTACTTCTTGCTATTCACTGAATCTCCCCCTCACTTAACACGTTGACGACCGTGTGGTATGATGTCATACCACACTCTTTCGGCCACGTGGGACCGTGTGACATGATGTCATGTCACAGTCTTTTTTAAGCTGGTTTTCAAACATTTTAGGTAACTTATTTACGTGATGTATGCGCCATACTTAGGCATTGTTACAAAAGGCGTGGTCCCTGGAAAGAAGCTTCGGTTGATGGGCTATCGAGTTTTTCTAAAAATGTTTGAATAATGATCAAATCACAGGAATCGCTAAAATGGCCAAAATCGCATAATCGGAGACCTACCACACAAGAAAGATAACAAATACACACTTCCTGAGAAAAAGGAGTTCTCGTGGGACCGTGTGACATGATGTCATGTCACACTCGCGCGGCACGGTCCCACACCACGGTCAAAATAATGCGCGCGGTCCCACACGCCAGACAGCGAAAAATAGCGCGGTCGTCAACGTGTTAATTAAAGTGGGTTGCCTTTGCAGCGTAAATTGTGCCTTCAATAAGTTTACATCGGTGTTGGCGCCATCACAGTGAACGCTTCCCTGTGGCTTAGAATCTGACAGCAAGTGACCAGCAACTGGTGTAGGCAATCGGCAACAGCCGGCAAGGCAATGCACTGTCGTGTTAAGGGCCCTGGTAGGCTACTGCGGGCGCACACTTCGTTCCAAACGCAACTCGTCCTGCTTATTCAGGAGACCTGTCTCCTTTCACCGCGCTACTATTTTTCGACTCCATTTTCCCTTACCGCCTCCCTATAATGTGGAGCTGTAAAGAAGAAATGAAAGGATGTGACCCACGTGGGCAAATTACTGCCGGTATGAGAATGTCCAGTTTAGTTTCCATAATTTTGTTCAACGTCGATGAGTCGGTTATGATCCTTTGCAATATACGTCCAGGACTGTTCCTTTCCTCGTCGAAGTATGCACATCCGTGGCGCATAATCTAATAATAATTAGTTAACAGAAAAGCGGTAATAAAAATAAAACCAATCTAAGCAATCACGTTTACAAACCTTTCTGAACATTGTGCTTCTCATACACGAACAGAATCCATGACCATATAAAGCAATGAAGAGTCTCTGAAACGGTTTTCGTGAGATCATTCATTCGATGGGTTTTTATGTGAAAAGGATACTCACACCAAGCGCTTCAAATATGGTTTTGATGATAATCAGGGCTGTGTAGACAGCAGCTACAATAAAAATCTGGTCATTGCGTTGTTCCTCAGGAGTTATCGCGATCTTGAAAAAACTGACTTCACAAAATCTGGATTACAGATAATTAGTTAAAAGTATACATTTACTGTTTCGCTCCGGCCACTTAATTACTCTAACCTGACCACTCCACAGAAGGCATGGAAACTGCAACTCTTTGTCAGAACGTAAACGTGAACGACTGAGGAGCGTACAAAACGAAGGACCAAGCAGGGTCAACCCTACGTTGTTACGAGTAACAACGGGGGGGTCGTACCTGGTTGAGTTTGTAGGAGGGGGGTCGTACCCACTTTAGTCGCTCGAAATCACGTGTGGGATTGAGGTGAAACTAAGATTTCGTGGGTAGTAGGCTGGGCGAGTGGAGGGCGCGCAGGATAAAAATTTGCCGTTTCAGCGGCGCGTATATACCCCCTCCCCCGCTCAACGGACATTTTTTGAGGAGGAAAAAAGGGGTGAGGGAAGAGGGAGGTGGGGGAGATATGGAAAAGGGCTCGTATCAAATGTATCAAATCCTCGTTGGGAAGGGGGGTCGTAAAATTTTTTCGAAAAGTAACAACGATAGGACAGACCCTGGGCCCAAGGCGGTCTAAGCCTGGATATAATCTGTCCATTTCAGGCAACCATTGGCACCAACATTAAGCCAGGATCGTTATAGACAACGTACCCTCGCGGGGCCGTCTCTTCAAAGTTGACACCAACCGATGAGGAAAAATAAAGCGCTTGACATGGATCACATCCGTTATTACGCTCATTTACTCTACACCTATTCAGGATGGTGATGGCACTTTGAATGAGATCTAAGGCATTACCCACTTTAATCTTCGTAGTGTATAAGCCAACTGACGCTTCTTGAGACAGACCTTCTCCCATAAGTGCTATCAGGACATGGGGCTGGAGCACCACGCAAAATTCGAGACCTAACCCACAAGAAAGAAATCCTCAAAAAAAGGTGTTCTCGTGGGACCGTGTGACATGATGTCATGTCACACTCGCGCGGTCAAAATAATGCGCGCGGTCCCACACGCCAGACAGCGAAAAAGAGCGCGGTCGTCAACGTGTTAAATGTGTATTTAGAATACATTGAACTTGGGGAAGGAGGGGGGGGGGCGCAGGGTCATACAGCGTTCAGGTCAGCGCTTTCGTATTCGCGAAAACCTGCACCATCAATGGCATCAATGGACCATTAAAGTTATGAAAAGCCTCGTTCATCAGTCTGCGCCCAAAATCTATTCAGGGTTTCATTACCGGAGAATGCGTCAGCATTGACGCTATCTTCATTTCAGAATTCCAATGCAACCAAATCACATTCAGTTACATAGGAGTGGAAAGAATAACTCACTTCAAGCACTGAAGCGACTTCAAAACAAATGAGCAAGTAGAAGAATGCTCGAAGAATCGTAGTCGGAATTGCACCTGCGAGCAATGAATAACCTTCACGATAGTTTGCAATAACTTTCCATACTGCATTGAAGTTGGTGGATTTTCCTGGCAGCTGAATGAATAAATGGTATTGTCCTTTCTCTTACGACATGTTAATTCCATCACGTGAAGAGACAAAAACACTTTTGCATCACGACCGAAACCGAGCTACTCAGACACGGAACGAATGGAAACTCCACAAATTCGGGGGAGTCGCGGTCAATTCGTAAAGACTTTCTGCCGAGAAAAACAGTATTCATTCACAAAAGCAATAATTTGTAGGTGATGAGACGGCATTCACGAGCTCCTTTCGAATACGTACAATCTCCGAGCTAGGAGGGGGCTGGGCACTGGTGCATGCATCATATGCACCCAACAGGAGGTCCGCCCCTCGCAAGGCAGAGAAGCGGACGAGTCGCAGCGCATGATTCGTGATACAGGACGATGTACAATGGTACATTCTATTTAACTTGACGCAAAATCACTACAGTACGCGCTGTCACTCGTCCGCTGACTCCGGATTGGTGCCGCGCGACGGCCTCCTGTCGGGTACCCATGCACCATGCATCAGTGCCTGGCTTTGCATCGTTGCAGTGTCTGCGTCTCGCCCTCTGCCATGCTATCTCATTTCTCAATCATCTCATTCTCCTAGGAGCCCATTCTTGTTTAGCGTGCTGCCTCTCCCATAGGCCAATCAGTCTACGGGTAGAAAAAGAGTTTAATTTCGGCGTTAAAGCAGCCTTCTCCTTTTCCTTCTAGTAGAAATTCACTTAGCACCTACTACGCTGTAACGTTTTTGCCTCGTTACCCTATTTCTGTCTCGTTTACAGCCTTCGATAACGATTACATTTTACCGCGCCCACTGTACTGGAAACTACCAAAAATTCTACAGAGAAATTGGTCACTCACATGATTTTCCACCTCTTCATATTCAGGCATTACGTCAATTTCGATGTCCATACGTCCCACGTTAGAGTACTTGTAGTCCAATCGTCGTGAGCGCTTTTTGCTCATGACTAAAAAATAATTTTTAGCCCCAAGGTTCATAATAACAAGCATGCGTTCATAACCGTGAAACTCACCAGGAAGTCTCTCATCGTGACTCAGAACAGAATACGATTTTCCAAGTTTTTTCTTTTTTCCTCCAAGCGAGCTGCTATTCCAAGCTCCTCGAGTAGCGGAGTTCTGCAATATTTAGTTGGATCACCTTCTTAACATATACAATGCATTGATAATGAGCTCGAAAGTCATTTCTTATTGGGTTGTGTTTGATGACACAAGCTATTCTACCTAGGAAGTACCCTTGCGTGGAGGTAGCAGTAAGCATGGATATGATATTCAAAGGACGGAATTTACGCTGAAAAAGCAACCCATTTCAAATTAACCTAGGGATGGTGAGTGGTACACGAAAGAAGGAAGAACCATGAGAAACGGCCCAGAACCCGAGAAATGGGACCCCTTCCTTGCCCGTTGATTTCCGCATTGATGCGACTCTCATCGTGCCCTCTTCAACGCTAACGCTCTCTCTGCTATGTCGGTGGGCGTACCGCGCCAACTGCGCCAAGAGTGAGCCATGCTAGATCGCCGAGGTCAAATCTTTCGCTGCCAATTGCGCGTCGGTCCGCACCCTCAGGAGGTCCGCCTGTCTCCCAACTAGGCATTTTCCCTTCTTTGACCTTCCTTCTTATTGTGGAACCCTCCTTTAATATCCTTTAGCATCCTGGCATGTTTGGAAGGATAAAAAACACTGACTTGTACATCGGCAGTGGGGCGGTGTAGTGGCAAGTGGCACGCTTACCACGCGAGCGGTCCGGGGATCAAATCCTGGGTCGTGAGTCGCCCGGGCCAACCAAGCCTTCCATCCCTCCGGGGTCGGTTAATTGGTACCAGACTTGTCTGGGAGGATAAAAACACTGACTTGTACATCGGCTGGCCCCCGCAAGTCATTGTATAGGCCACATCGCATTCAAACGCCACTACGAATGTACAAATGGAAGTAGAATGCGTGCCGCATCCCAAAAAGGGATTGATCAACGGCAAAT